TGTCTTTGTTTTTGTAAGAAACAAATATTTGGTTTTATTGTTATTAGAAAAAACTTAATTATTAAATTTAATACATAAAGAATTTTCTATCAATCTGCCCCTAAATAATGGGGATTTACATATTTAGACAGTCTCGTTTAGCACTGTTTCGCATTACGCATTACTCTATTTTGATGAAACGTATCTTACGCGTTAAACGTGGTCTTACTGTATTTTATTTTATTCTATTTTATTCTATTTTATTATATTTACCTAAGTATTAAATCTTATTTTTAGTTTTCAGTAAGTAGCACTTTAAGTCTATAAATATTTACATTTCATATAATTTAAATGATTATTTCTAATTAATATTAAACCTCTACATATGTTAAATAATATAATAAAATATACATTACTATTTCGTCTATTGTACCAATTAAAAATGTTTAAAGGAAAATAGTATTATTCAATATTTTACTATGTATTATTCAAATAATATAAAAAAAAAAGTTCATAAAATTCAAGTTTTCAAATTTTTAATAAAATAAATTAATTTTATATAACAAGAAATTAAGATGCACAACAAGAAAGATTCAGTTGATGCTTAAGTCTATCTTAGAGACTCAGAATTAAGAGTAGTGTATGAAAGGTTTGGTGCCTAAACATGAAGCACGACAAAATTACTAGCTATTTTAACTGTCTACATTATTTTTAACAATTTTGTTTTTAACGGTCAACTAGTCAACTAACAAACAGTTAATTGATTATAACAATCAAATATTGAATGATCATCGTAGAAAAATCGGAAACTTTCTGGAAACTTTAAATTGTTAAAAATTGCAAAAATTACGCTCATCATTTTTGATATGCATATAAACCTTATGGGTGAGCTTCATACCACCGGGAGAAGAGAGTAAATATGAGTTTACCCCACTGTTTGATATTATGCTTGAGGTTGAAGTATTTTCACGTACGGCAATGTGTTCCGACAACAAGTTAAGCTTTAAAAGACAATGCTGCTTCTCTCAGCAAATCATATAATATTTATTTAACTTAACTGGGTTTAGTTAATTTAGTCATAACCTATGTATTTGAAATGAAATTTATTGGTTCCTAACAGCTATTCAACAGCTATGATATACCTTCTGATCAAAAAAGAACGATGTTTTGGGTTTGAAACGCGTCGCTTCTCGGCTGGTGGCAAAAAAGCTGAATTTCATTCAAAAAAAGTCGCAGTTTTTCGCCAAAAACTCCACCAATATCATCAACCAATCACCGTACTCTCCAGATATGGCCCCGTGTGACTTTTTCCTCTTCCCCCGACTCAAATTGCCATTGCGAGGAACGCGTTTTGAGACCATAGAGAAAATTTTCGACATCTTTGTATAGACGCCAAATAAATAAATCTCGTACGATATGCGTTAAACTTTGACAGAATGTGTTGCCAGCGTGCAAATAAAAACAATTTACCGATGAAAGTAAAAACAATTTAGCGCGGGAATTCAAAAATTAAAGTTCTTTTTTGATCACAAGGTATATGGCATCACAAATATGCATATAAGTTGACTTTATTACTTTACGACTTTAGTTGATTAAGACTGATCTGAAATTTTTTTGGATTAACCTACAATATTTTAATCAGTTATAATTCGTTTGTAGCATGTACTAACTATTTTAACAGCATTGTATGTAAGACTGTTCTGAAATTTTCACATAAAGTTTAACTATTAAAGTTCTCTTAAAGGGTTAGTTTTAAAACCTTGTTCAATTGGGAGTGCGATCTTTGCTGGTTGGGCGATAGTTCATCTGAAAATAATATTGAGATGATGTGATTTTTTGGAAAGGTGATCTTTGTAAGTGTGGCACCTATACAAAAACTTTAGTTTGCTAACTTGTGCGCGGAAAACCTGAATGAAACATTTGTGTCTACTGTATACTTAAATCCAAATATGATAAAAAACTAAAATTCATATTTCTTTTTTAGTTTTTATATTTTATTTAATAGTCTATAAAATTATAAAGTTATATTTAAAAATGAGCCAAGAAAACTTTTAAATGTTTTTAAACTCGACATTTTTTTAACGGTTATTGGGATGTTTATCTCAAAAATAGATTAGGAGATATTTTTTCAATAAAAAAGTTGTTATATTTAATTTTGTAGAGTATAAATCTTATTAAACACGGTCAGAAAGTGTGTTCACTCTTATTTCACCGTCAGCAAAATTTTTGATAAAATGTGTTTAAAAAAGCGTTTTAGAGGTGGATGAGTGGTACTTATTTATTAAAGTTTATAGTCGTATGCTAAGACACAAATAATTTTTGAAGAGAACTGATTATATGTGTGTAAAAGCAGACTGTTTTTAGGAAAATTTAAAAAAACATTAGCATACTCTGAAAAATGGAGCAAGATGTATTAGCACAGATCTCTATTTTGAAATACTAAAAAAACTGGTTAAAGATATTAAAAAAATAGTTGTTGGAACAATACTATTATGCTATTAGATTGATCCGGAACCGAAAATAAGTTATTTAAAAAATTTTTAAGAAAAAAAGCAGGAACAAAAGGCTGTCTAAACTCATATTTAAGTATACAGTTATCATTCTAACAGTTTTCATCCTTAATATTATGTATGCTTTGTATATATGAGCATTATAAAATAAAACTCCAAAAATAAATAAATTTGCTTTATATTATATTTATCAAAAATAATTCTTACATTCTACTTTTTAATTTAAAACGCACAAATAACTGTTATTTTTGTCTTATAAATATAAAAATCAAGAATAAACCCTTATTTTTGAAAATAATATATAACTAACACTAGCTTGTCTGATATTTTTAAAAATAGAAGGTAATTGTTTTTGTAATTTCATATAAAATGTATTAAAGAGTTGGTGCAAGTAATGTTTTAGTTTTGTTTTTGTACACAAAACAATACAAACAAAAAAACCAGAAGTGACTTTTTAATAGCACCAACCTTTAAATACATTTTGTAAGAAATTACAGAAACAACCACCTTGATTCTTAATTTTCTTCTATAACTTGAATTTTCTATAACTCGAACCAAAAAAACTGCACCTAGGTTTTAGAGAGCAAATTACATACAATTCTGCTTCCATAACTCGAACTTCTATAACTCGAAGAAAAATTTTGTTTTGTGCCGATAGGTATATGGGAAAGTCGAATTTTGATGTTAGGAGAAGTCGCTTTTTCCAATCGTTGGCAGCGATTAATGCTACTCTTAACGATTATATTGATCTTGATAATAAAATTTGTACATCAAGCTTTCCTTCCTAAAATTCCAAACACTAATTTCTAATTACTTTACTTCACTATAACTTCTGTACTGTATTTGATCGCAAATAAATAAATATCTTAAAATGTAATTCTAGTTTCTTTCAAAAATAAAAAAAAATGAAATTAAAAGAAATAAAATTAAAAAAAAAAAATAAAATTAAAAAAAAATAATATTAAAAAAAAAATAATATTAAAAAAAAAAATGAAATTAAAATAAATGAAATTAAAAAAAAAAATTAAATTAAAAAAAAAAATTAAAAAAAATTAAAAAAAAAAAAAAAAAAAATTAAAAAAAAAAATTTAAAAAAAAATTAAAAAAAAAATTAAAAAAAAAATTAAAAAAAAATATAAAAAAAAATTAAAAAAAAAAATAAAAAAAAATTAAAAAAAAAATTAACTTCCAGTTATGGAAGTTTGACTGTATTTATAAGACAAAAATAACAGTTATTTGGGTGTTTTAAAATAAAAAAGAGTATAATAGTATAAGAGTATATAATAGTATAAAAAGTATAATAGTATAATGAGTATAAAATTAAAAAAAAAAAAAATTAACTTCGAGTTATGGAAGTTTTTACTGTATTTATAAGACAAAAATAACAGTTATTTCTGTGTTTTAAAATAAAAAGATGAGTATAATAGTTATATCTGTGTGAAAAAAATAAAAGGCACACGATAACAATTATTTTTGATGAATGTAATATAAATCTAATTTAATTATTATTTTTTGAGTTTTATTTAAAAATTGCGAATGATAACAGTTGTAAGGTGATTTTTATTTTTTTAAACATAACTGTTACGGTCCTTGATTTCAATTGATGTGTTTGTTTATTTCAAGATTACTGTGAAATATTTAATAGGAATTATTTTTTTTTGGTTTTATTTGATATACAGTTTGTATTTATATATTTTATTTAAATACACAGTTTTTTTGTATATAAAAAATTGCCAACGTTTCGAAGTTTTTCGAGTTCATAATCAGGGCGGAATGTTATAACTAATGTTACAATCATTTAATCACGACAAGTTATAGTGGATCAATACTTAAAAATATCACTTGAAAATAAAAATTAAGGTTGTATTGTCTTCAATATTTAAAAAAGGGGCCAATGATCATCTATGCTCTTTCGTTTGTGATGAAACATAGAATTCATAGAGTAATAATAGTGTCAATAAATTTGTAATTTTAAATATATCAACAATAAATGTCAAACATATGATATTAATAAAGAGAATGAGATATGTGTTTTAATATTAAATTATATTATAACCTTATACTTATATATTTTTTTAAATTATACATAGTAATTAACGATAAAAGAATTTTATATTATATTAAATATTTTGTTTTTAAAATTTAGAGTAGAATATTTATTAATTGAAACAAGACACCAAGATCTAGCCCAACCATTAAGAAATTTTTTTTTTATTTTTAATATAAATATCTGTTGTTTTTTTTATCTAACGAATATACTTTTTAAATTAATTGTATTCATTAAAAGAAATGTATTGCTTTCAAAGCACTTACCCAATGTTTTGGTAACTGGACATTATTACTAAAAAAAATTTATAAAAAGACACTTCCCAACACAAAAATAACATAACAAAAATAAAAAAAACTACTGAAAAACATACATACAAACACACCACTTCACATCACACCCATTTTACCATATTTTTATTCGAAAAATCAAATAAATTCTTCCGTTGACTTCTTCAAACCCACCTTTTGATTTATTTTTATTTGCAACGCCATATGCATTTTGCTTTTGTTTTCGCGATGGTGTGTAAGTGGGTAGACGTAAAGCATTCACTGGAGAAGAGCTACCAAATAGATTATCAAATACATCGCCTTTACCGGCGCGTTTTGTTCGTCGTTTGCTGTTTGTGTCTGGTGGCGGTTCAAATAGATCTTCATAATCAGCAGATCCGGGTGAATATGGACTTTCAGTGTCATTTATATTAAATATGTCATCAGCTGTGCCGTTGCGCACATTGTTATTTATTGCAGGCAGTCCTACTCCACTGCTACTGCCTACACTGCCACCTACTTTTGGTAAAGGTAATTTTAAAACTTGTGAAGTTTTATTGACTGGAGGTGTTGGACTAGATATACTAGGTATGTGCTGTGATTGTTGGGATACACAAGTTGAAATTAATACATTCGATATTACTGTAATGTTATCATCAGATTTTTCACGCATTCCACCCATGTTATCATCATGAGTACTTCCATGTACGCCACTACTTAGCATATGTGTTGAAGTGGTATATTGCGATTCATTCGACTTATTTGCTAAATCTTGACTATTATTGACTTTTGTGTTCATTAAAGCCATTACTAATTCAACAGGATTCATGGTCGTACTCTGTGTAGTTATACCGCTACTGGTACCTCCAGAAATTTGTTGCGCATTTCGTTCGCCGGAATGTCTTTGCTCTTCAACATGTTTTTGTGAGATACCATCTGCACCGCACTCACTAATAGAGTTTTGTGAAGTATCGATTGGTGCTGGTGACGGAGAACGTGGCGACATCGATGGTGATTTAGTCGGTTCAAATGGATCATAGGCATCCGGCGAACAAGGACCAGAATCAGGCGGAGTATTTGGTCCAATTTTTTGATTATTGTGTGTATGTATAGTTTCCACGTCCTGTCGATGCTCATCTTGTTCAGGTCTTTCTTGTGATTCTGTTTCCGATTGCATTTCCTGTTCATCGTGTAAAGGATTAATCCGTATTTTATTTTGTTTTTTGCTATTTATATTGAATTTTACTATTGGAGGTTCAGGTGGTGTTTTAGGTCCAGTTTGTTGTAATTCGTATGATTCTTCCATAATAGTTTCCAAACGTTCTAGTGGTGGTGTCTGTTCATGCTGAACACTAACACGTGCACTAGTGGTCAGTTGTTGACGATGCTCTATGTTGTCATTTACAGATTGTATACTTTGACGACGTTCGCGACGTTGTTCTCGTTCATTTTCACGTCCATCTTCGCTGTCAGTTAATATTATAACATCTGTGGGCTCTTGATGTATTTGGAATGGTGAACGATCCAAATCAATTATAGCAATTGGCTTAGCATCAATTTTTTTACGTTTATGAGGTTTTTCTTTTCTTTTCTTTGCAGCATTTGCATTAGCTGCATGATCTATGGATATACGTCGCGATGTTAATAGGTCCTCACGAGTAGGAGGCAATGTAACAACAGTGGTTTGTTGTGGTTGTTGGTTTGTAGTTTCTTTATTAAAGCTCACGCTGACAAGTATATTATTTCCAGAAGCAAAAACTTCTTTTGAGGGTGCAGGCTCTGGAGTTTTTGTACGTCGTTGACGTCGTTTGTCTTTTCTCGTCGTGTCTTTACGTTTCTCTGTTTTTTTCTTTTTTTTAGTGCGCTTTCGTTTCTCCTTTTTGCTGAGTATAGAACTACTTCTACGAAGAACAGGTGCATAATCGTCACGTGAAATTTGTGAAATTCGATTTGTTGTAATAGGCGGCGTCCAGGATATATTATTTTCACGTTCACGTTCATAATTTAATAAAGGTGGCGGTGGACTGGGTGACGGAGACCATGTTTGTTCATCAACTGGTGATTTATTTTTCGATACAACATGACGTTTCTTTTTTGGAGGTGCATTTTCAATAAATGGATCTTGTTGCCGTGAGATCCGTCGATTGGTTTCTGGACTCAAGCTTAAAGCTCTTTTTTTATTTTTTTTCTTTTTACGATCTTTTGTTTTTTTCTTTTTGCTTTTAACTGCATTAAATGGACTTTTTGAACGGCTTCGACTTAAACGCGGCGTATATCTTGGAGATGGTGAAAAAGAACGTGCACGGGATCTTGATCGTATATTGGGCGAAACATTTCGCATGTGTCTAATAACTTTGCGATTGTTCATACGTGGTAATGGTGAAATAGAACGAGATCGTAAACGTGATGTACTGCGCGCGCGCTGACGTGGTGGCGTAAATCTTCTTGGTGAATGATAGTGACGTGGGGGAGAAGCGAAACGACGGGGCGATATGGATATACGATGAACACCTGGTGGTGTAGGAGACATGCTAAAACTGCTACGTCTGTTTCTTCGTGGCGATAATGAAGAAGTACGTGATCGTGAAAATGAATGCAATCTGCGCTCGCGACTTGCTGATCTACTATTACGTAATTGTCTAGAAGTATCACGACCATAACGGTCCTTTACTGTTCTTTGTGTACCAATTATATTACGCACATCATACCGCGGCATTTCACGGCGCTTTGGTCGCTGTCTATGCAATTTCCCCATATTATTTCTACCTGAATCATCCCAATCTCTATTATTGTGACGATAATTATGATTTTCTTTATTTGATCTATTATAAAAAGGTGAACGTGTTCTTTTACGCCCACGACCGCGGGGTGATTTTGACCGTGAGAATGATTTTGACCTGGATCTAGACCTCGATTTAGATGTGGACCGAGAATACCGTCGTTTATCATTACGTTTATTAAATTGTTTTTCACTGCGATAATTCCTTATCTTTTGTTTGTTACTAACTTTTTTAAATGTTTCTTTATTGGTGTCATGTTTATCACTACGACGTTTATTTTTGCTACGAACATTTTCCTCCTCCTCGGAAATTAATTCTGTTTCTATTTCAACTAAATTGTTTGCAGTTGGTGTATTATCACCATTAATTTCTTTCTCTTCAGGTTTTGGAGTAGCTTCTTTAGTAGTAATCTCTTTTAAAGGACTTGTATTTGCGTTTTCCTCTGGTTCGTTATTTTCATCTAAACATGGAGTATAAGAACGATCCGGTGCAATTGTAGTATCGTCTGCTTCATCAGCTTTTTCATTTTCAGCCTGTTGCTCTTCTGTTGCTTTCTTAGGTTCCTTACTGTCAGTTTGTTTCATATATTCTTTAGGTTTATCTATATCAAGCTCTTCCCAATCACTGTCATCGTATAAATCTAAAACACCTTTACGATTCGAAACAACCATATCATTACCTGGTAATTTTATTTCTGATTCTGTGGAACTAGGTGACATCTGATTTTTTTTACTTTCCTCTCCATTAATCTCATTGTCATTATCCATATCTTTTGGGATTTCTTCAGCATTTTTATCAACATTACTTATTTCGTTCAGATTGTGTATAGATTCTAAATTACTGTTAGGAGACTCAGTTTCCTCTTCTGGATTATATTTTTCATTCTCAACATCAGCGATATTTGCAGTATTCCTATTGACCGTGTCATTTGTTGACATAGAACTTCCCTTATCATCATTATCCTTAACATTATCTACTCTATTTTTATATACTATTACAGTTGCAGAATTATCGCACACTGTATTACTATTACTATCATCATCGTCTTTATTAACTTCAGCATTATTTTCTTTGTTATTATTTTCATTTTCATCGTCGTCATCATCTTCATTCTCTTCTGTTGGATTTTCTGGTTCATACAATTCAGAATTCTCAACAGGTTTATTATCAGGTGGCATTGGTATATCATCGTCGTCATCTAATTGTACTAAATCTTCATTTTCATCGTCTTCCTGAGAATTGATAATTTGTGAAATAGGAAAGAGAAAATGATATTTCATGGTTAGTATACCATTGTATGTTTACTGCAATAATGATTTTTAAGGCCTATTATGAAACTAACACAATCTAAAAATTGACATTTTCTCTAGCTGTTGTAAAAATATATATGCGGTTAATCTATATATCTCATCAAATGTAAGAAAGCTTTGATTCTAACACTAACAATAAAGTGCACTTACGTGAGCATATAACATTTGTTATATTTATAGTCAGTATAGTGTCAACTAAAAAACGGGCAATTGGGATAACAGTTAAATAAGCTCACTAATTAATGGAAATATCAATGAATCTCATATTTGGGTACACTTTGTTTTAATTTATATATGTGAGTTAACTAATAGAGCAATAGATATGCTGAGACCTTTTATATTTGTTTATTTACTTTTTAGGTTTTTTTTCTATGTAACGCCACGATTTATGTAGTTTATTTTATTAATGATATAATTTAATATTTGATATATGCATTAAGTCCATAGATTTCGGTTCAAAGTATGACTTGAGAATATACAAATACTCACAAGGAAAAGCTGGACCATATTTGTTCAATTAATGGATTGTAATAGCAATTGTTTCCTATATTTTAACTATCTAAAAATTGGACGTAAGAAAACTATATATAACCTATTTATTAATAGGTGAATGAGAAATTAAATTTTTTTAGAGTAAAATGATATTTTTAAATAAATTGCAATTTATTTAAATTTAAATGTAAATATTATTATAAAAAATAATACTTTTTAGATTAATAATATCGATTAGAAATACTCATGGTTTCTAATACGGTAACTGCAATTTAACTGTTCAATAAATTTCTTTTAGAGATTTTATGAACATGAGAAATACTTAAAGGATTGTTTAGATCGTATCACTATCATTATATCACTCTATATAAAGAGAGACGTTTTATTTAGAAATACAGAAATATTTGATTACAGTCAGCATTACACTATATATAGAAAGAGTGTAGCCATTACACTCTTTACAGATTGGCACTTCATTAGGAGTTTTAGAATTATATGGCTAAAGCTATCAATACTCCTTAAAGAGTGACTTCATTATTTGTAAGAAGTTCAATATATTTCGCACAGAAAAAATAATGTGTATTTAATAATACACATTATTAAATAGATTACTATACATTATTAAATAGATTATTAGTTATTAAAACATAACTATACTATGCCATTAGTCTTTAATTTGCATAGTTTCGACTTTTCTTACATAACTTTCAAACTCTAGATAGTAGTTCTTTATAAATAGGTTTAAATTAATTTAAGTATCACATCAAAAATTCTAAATTTGTATTCAAAGAGATTTTAGGTTAAGAGACAAGTAGCGCTATTGTTTAAAAGTTGCAATTTTATCAGATGTTTAATATATTTATATAGATATTTCGAAAAAAAAAAATATTTCACCATTTTCAATAAACAAAAAAAAAAAATCAGAAAGAAAAATCAAACATGAATATATAAAATAAAATAAAGCATACCTTCGATGATTCATTTTCTTGTTGCTGTCTTGGTAAATCTGCAGACTTCACAAGTTCTTGAGATTCAGCTGAATAAACTGAGAAATTTGGGCAATTTGAATCATCTTCATTGCCATAATCATTACTCAACTGAAATAAAGAATTTGTCCAGGGTAATTGTACGGCAGATGGTGGAGTAGGTGGTGGAGGTACTGTTAATAATGGTGGTCCAACAGTTAAAGGTGGATTGGAGGCAAGTTGTTGCACCGGTGGTGGTTGCATCCTGATAGCTGGTGGTAAACCACTAAATAATTGGTTTTCCATCTGTGCTGCGATTGGTGGTGGTGGTAATCCACTGAAAGCGTTTTCAATAGTCGAATTTCTACTTGGTGGCATTTGATTTACTTGCGGTTGTTGTTGCATTTGATTGTTATTATTATTGCGTTGATTATTTTGCTGATTACGTTGATTGAAACGCATACTGAATGGTGAAAAATTAGCATTTTGATTATGATTATTGTAGTTAGTGTTGTTGTAGTTAAAATTTCCTGGACCACCCATATTATTATAATTACTACCACCATTTCCTGTATTGCTCCCATTATTCATCATACCACCTGTAGAGTGTCTATATTGGTTTCCATTTCCACGGTAATTATTTGTATTATTGAAACGGTTATTGTAACCGCCACCACTGTTGTTAAAATTGCTATTTGTGCCTCCGCTTTGCGGATACATTGGTGCTTGCATTATAGCATTTGTTACTGAATTTTGCTGATTTTGCGTACTTTTTTCTTGAGTATTTGTTGCTTTGTTGTTATCTAGTTTTAGTGTTGGTTCCGTAGTTGAACTTGTAGTGTTTTTTCTTTGTTCCAACCGGCGTTCGCTCTCTTCTAGATTTAAAGAACCATCAGAATTTATATGCACATTAGCTAAACTGCGGCTGGCGTTTAGCCAACGATTTTGTATATTCATTATACTCGTGAGTAAATCGGTATTATTACTATTATTATTATTATTATTTATAGCAGGTGTTGCTATAGCTCCACTACCTCTTTTTAATCTTCCTAACAATATGTTCTTCCGAGATCTTTGTGGTCCATAACTCGATATGCGTACAGAAGTTTGTACAGCAGCACCGTGTCCGCCAGTATCAATTTCAATTTGACTTTCCATACCACCATTATCGCTATCAGAAAAATATTCTAAATCATTTGCATTACCCATTAGAGACAACCCTGCTCCTGTACCAGATGTAAGCGAATTATATGTAGGCTCCTGTTTTACACCCATTTGTTCTGCTAAACGTTTACTAGCTGTTTGACGTACTCTTGGTTCAATTTTTGATTTTGATCGCTGTTTGCGTCTTCTTCGTTTTATAACTTTCTTAGATGTTTTTATAGCAAATTTTTCATCATAATTATTTAAGTCATACTCTACAACATAAGTGCGTTGTCGGGCACGTCTACGACGTCTTCTTCTCCTTTTAGGTACTTTGGCTACATTTCTAGATCTAGTTGTACGTGTTGTAGTTGTTGTAGTGATAGTTGAATTGTGTTGTTGCCCTGTTCTATGTGCCGCGGTAACGGTAGTTTCAGTATGTGAACGTGTGGACCTTGTATGCCTCAACACTGCAGCACGAATGCGTTCATTTTGACGCGTTCTTAATATACGTGGCTGCTGTACTTCTGTAACACGTAAATGGGCATCAGGAATACCCATATCTCGTAAATCTTCAAAGAGAAAATTAATATCTTCATCTACATCGTCATCCTCTTCGGAACCAACACAATTATCACAATACCAAGTACCTTCAGGAATAGAGCTAAGTGGTGGCGATAAACAATCCATATGGTAACCTTGATTGCAACTATCACACAGTAGCATAACATCCTCACGATCTGGTCTAGAACATATCTCACAGTTAGTAAATTCTTCATCAACATTGATTTCACTTTCGGACATGTATTCTTTATGGCTTTTTTCTAAATCGACATCAATTTCACGTACAATTTTTCGATTTTCATATGTGTCGCGCACAATTATCCTATTAAACGCTATCCGATCAATTGGACAGGTTTGTACATTCTTTGACCATGCTTCAATGCATTTTGCACAAAATACGTGTTCGCAAGTCGAAGGAGATCCAATTTCTTGTTGACGAAACGTCACTAGACAAATTGGGCATTTTTCTAAAAGCTCATTACTGCTACTATCAGAAGTAAAACCACCATCTTCTTTTGGTTGCTGATTTGCTGTGGTTGAAGAATCAATCAAATCTTGTTCTTCATCTGATTCTATATATTTTTTAACAGTTTTAGATTTAACGCGAGATTTAGTTAACCGAATGACCTGAAAATTAAAATAAAAAATATATTATATAAATGTGTTAACGTAATTAAAAAAAATATTTTTATTCACTATATATAAAAATGCACAAATTTATATATTTATTAATGTTTTATATTCCTTATGCCTATACTTTTGCTATATTTCAGATACTTCTGAGATATGATGTATACGTCGAACTGTAATGACATAACATTTTGCAACTTTCTTATTTACTAAAATAACCAAATAACTGGTAAGAATTATTATATCTGAATATATGAACTGAACTATATGTTAAATAATATATATATATATTATATTTATATTTATATATTATAATACATATTTTATTATTACTAGACATAATGATAGATCGCAAATTATGAGTACAGTAATCCCCCCCTATAACGCGTTTTTATATTACGCGATTTGAATCCCCCGTATAACACAGACATTCACCCATATAACACGGGGATTTGTACAGTTCATAATTACTTTCGCGTACCTTTGCACGTTTGTATACGGGGTATATGGGAATACATCTATAACACGTTTTCTTATAAAGCGGAACCAATCTACCGCGTTATAGGGGGGGATTACGGTATCTATTTCTGTTCCTCAACAAAGATTTTGTTAAGTAAAACTCCGACAAAGGTACTGGATGGATTTACTAACAATTTTTGTATAAGAACACCCTTCTTATGAGGGGAAGGAAACATTAAAATATGTTCCATGTAACTGCCCAGCGGCGGCAAGACGTAGAGTTAACTACCTTTGAAGCTGGATCTTGACCACAAATGAAATACGTGAAATAAGCACACTGCAATTACGAGATTTATAAATAGTCTAGAATTGTTTTAGGTGGGCGTTTAGGCGCACAATTTTTTTGATTGTGGTGCATTCATAGCCTATTATTTAATAATTATAAATACGAGCACCCTGGGCTACTACAATAATAACAACATGGCTAAATGGTTTCTTCTAAATTCCACATAATCATAATGATTTTTAAATTCATTATGAGGTCCATTGATTTTTGCCTCAATAATAGATTCTACCCGAAGGAAATAGTATAGTTTACCGTAAAATCGTATAAATATCGTTATTAAATAATAACATTTAGAAAATATTCTAATATTCTGCTATTATAAAATATTACTTTATAGTTTCACATAAATATTTTTTAAATTTATTTTACTGAATGGTAAATTAAAGCAAGTGATAGTATATATACATAGGGACAACATGAATTTCAATCAAGGATGTATTAAGGAAATATTGTGCTTTTAATATTTATCAAAGTAGCTGAAGATGAAGTACTGATACATATATATAATTGCTTAAGAAGATATTAACCCGAAAATTTCAAAGGCGTCACATATAGAATTAGGTTTACATAGATAGATCACTAATAATAACACCAGAGTAGAAATTTTACATAATAAAAAATAGTTATGTTCCGAAATCATCGAACAACATTGATCAAAACTCCCACACTTCTCTCGGTGTTTCAATGGTTAATCAAATAAGTTTCAATAACAGATGCAATTTTAAACCACACTAGTGTAACAAAAATAATTTACATAATTTTATGCAAATCTGTCAATATACACAAATAATAAGAATGATATAAATTGAGGCAGATCAAAAAAGAACTTATTCGTTCTTTTTTTGAATTCCCGTGCTTATCCAATCGGTAAATTTTTTTATTTTCACGCTGGCAACACTACTATACACATTCTGTCAAAGTTTAACGCATATCGTACGATTCGTTTTTGTTTGGCGTCTATACAAAGACGTCGAAAAATTTTCGTGTGGCGTTTAGCTGAATTTCATTCAAAAAAAGCGTCGTTGTGATGTGGCCAAAGAGATGATTTCCAACGCAGATAGTGACCCCACTTTCATCGAACGCATCATAACTGGTGATGATACATGGGTCTATGAATTTGACATGCCCACTAAACAACAATCGACCGAATGGTGCTTCGAAGGTGAGGCGAAACCGAAAAGAGAACGCCAAAATCGGTCCAAAATCAAGGTTATGCTGACTGTCTTCTTCGATATTCGTGGTGTGGTGCACTATGAACTCCTTCCGGACGGTCAAATGGTCAAACGGTCAATAAGGAGTATTATTTGGCCGTTATGCGTAGTTTGCGTGAGGCCATTCGCATAAAGAGGCCAGTTTTATGGAAGGAAAACTCATGGATTTCACACCACGATAACGCACCAGCTCACACAGCGTTGGTTGTGTCGCAGTTGTTGGCCAAAAACTCCACCAATATCATCAACCAAGCACCATACTCTCCAGATATGTCCCCGTGTGACTTCTTCCTCTTCTACCGACTCAAAATCCTATTGCAATGAACGCGTTTTGAGACCATAGAGGCCATTAAAGAGAACACGCTGCGTGAACTAAAGGACATACCTTCGTCGGCCTATAAAACTTGCATGGAAAATATGATCAAGCGTGGACATGCTTGTATTGCCGCAGGAGGAGAGTACTTTGAAGGCGATAATAAAGAAAATTATTAAAAATTAAAATTTTGCGTTTTTTTTAACTTCTCGTTCTTTTTTAATCAAATGGTATGTGTCATTTATTATATAAAATATATGAATATATATTATTCGTAAAATAAAAAGAAATTTAACTAATAAAATTTACGATTTAGTGCGAAAAAGTTTTCGTTAGAACTATTATAAGATTTATATGGTATATTTAAATATGTACGACTTAATTTTTATTTGACCTATTTTGGGTCAGTGTATATTGCGATTGAATAGAATCTCATTTCCGTTACTCCATTTTGTATAAATAAGATTCAGAAATCTCACTATTCCGAACAAGCTGAGCTAAAGATCAATTATTTTAATTACGTTGTTTTTAGTATTTAATTACCGTGCACCGAATGGTGAACATTAATGAATGGAGCATTAAGAAACTTAATGTTAATTTTATTTTTAGAATTCAGTCCTATTTAAATCCAAGTAATTGTACTAGGTGGACTGATTAATACCCTGCCCAAGTAATAAGAACGCATTTTTTTTGGAAAATTATAATTTATGCTTCAATATGGACCCCTTTTATCACGACACACAGAACTCAACGGTCTTTCAACATTTGGATACCTTTTAAATAATACTATTTATCAAGTCCTGGAAAATATACCTTAGTTTCCCATTCCACTTTATCATTTAATGTACATCTCTTTCCCTAGAGCTATCTTTTCAAGTTTGGAAACAGGTAATAGTCACTGGGATCCAAATCTGGAGAATACGGTGACTGAGAAAGCAATTCATACCGTAAGCGTTATCCTACAAAAACGAAATTTTTTTTTTCGCTAAATGTTGTCGGTTTTTCTTAATTTCCTCATTCAATCCAATAATAGATCCAATAATATACTATAGAAGTCTGATGTTATTGTTTTTCTTTTTTCCAAATAGTCTATGAAAATTATTCCACTTGAATCAAAAAATACGGAAGCCAAAACTTTTCCAGCCGATTGTTGAGTTCGTGGCACTAACCCCAGACTGTACCCATTCTCTGGCTTATTGTTTTCGCTCAGGTGTGAAGTAATCGATCCATGCTTCATCAATTGTCATCACTTTACGCTCACAGTGAACTAGATTTGAGTATGCCTCGCTCCCCACCAAGGAGGAAACTATATCCAAACGTATAATTAGTACCGGCGGAATTGCTCGAAATTTCAATGTCGCAATATTTTGATACATGTGTTTGTAGAGCACTATGGTCTTAAGCCTTCATGGTAGGTACCCACTGTTACTGTCAACTAGATTGTGCATAAACGTTTCTAAGCAATGTTTTAAATGACAAAGTTTTTGTGGTTTTTGGTCAATTATTAGTAAACGCCAAATCCATCTTGCCAAAAGTTTTTTATATCCAAATATTTATATTTGAAATTTTTTGCCGGGCTTTAGATCGTGGTTTTTAATTTTAAATTTTTATATAAAATACAAGTTATTATATAAAAATTTAAAATTAAAAACCACGACCTAAAGCCCGGCAAAAAATTTCAAATATAAATATTTGGATATAAAAAAACTAATATACCATCTCTGCTATATTACGAAATTTAATTTTTGGACGGAATTTCTGACCTCTTTTGGGCAACCCGGACGCTTTTCATCAAAAAACACTCGTACAATCACGTTTAAATATAGCTTTCCAATATTTTATTGTTGTTAACGATGGTGCAAGGTTGTCCTAAACAGAATCCATTTCCAATTTGATTGCAGCATTGTTTGTGCCTTTCTAATGGAGGAATTTTGTTAATGAACTATATTAAATTTTTTCTATTTTATGAAAATCTTTTAGGTGCACTATTTCAATTATTTGCAGAAAGCTAACCAAATATCTGATGAAGTAGAAACTTTTACAGCTGTCGTATAAAACTTAGCTGATATACAAAATATAAATGATTTTCTTTTGGCGTTGCCACCTGTTGTGAAGTCAGGTAATTATCAATCCATCTATTAAGTACTCGATTTTTATGGATAAAGATTTGATGCCTACTAATTTTAATGAAAGATGCATATAAATATATTAATTCTATAAATATATTAATTATATCAATATAAAACTATAATTTAGTTTGTCATTTTGTAATGAAACCAATTATTTGATATATCAACTAAAAATGCATATTCTTAGTCTGTATTAGGTATATATTATTACATTATTACATTACATTATTATTATTATATATTGTGTAAATAATAAGATCCAACATACATATATGATACGTATATTTATATTTTGCTCAACAGAATGACTCACACTTTGTATTTTAATTTTTGTACTTATAGATTATTACGTTTATGCAGATACAAAAAAATGTTTTTACCTCATTTATAACTTTATTTTTCTTTTCATTTAAAATAATTTGGTGATCTTGCAAAATATATCGCAATTTTAATAGTTGTTTAACCTTTCGGTATTTACACATTTTTGAAATGAAATAGAATACGACTTGATCTAAACGAAGTAGTGGATAAAATTAAGC